GCCGGGGTCTCTCCGCCGGGCGGGTGCTGTCGCCCCTCCCGTCCGTGTCTTTCCCCGTCCCTGCTGCGGGGTGGGCAGCCCCGGCCCCCGCTCGCAGTGCTCCAACCCCAGGGAAGCCGCCGCCGCTTGGTCCCTTGGGGGCCCCCTGGGTCACCCTGACCCCAGGGAGCGTTGTCCCCTCTCTGGTGGTGGCGGGGAGCAGGCAGAGGGATGGGGCGAGGGGCCCCCATCAGGTCTGCGTGTGCCCATGGCATTGGGGGTCTGTGCCCTCCTGTGGGGCGCGGGACACTGCATTGTGCTGGTCCCCGCATTGTGCTGGATCAGGCCCGCGGACGGGGTGGGTGTTTACGTGTTTGCCAGTGCTGCAGCCCCCAGTGTCTCCTAGGGCCTGCCACTCGCTCAAACTGTAACGATGCTCATGCTCTAATTATTTCCAATTAACGGCTCAGTGGCCTGATGAAGTGCAGTTGGGGACCCCTGCAGGGAGCAGGCCCTGTTGGGTTGTGGGGAGGGGGGATGAGGCTGAGGTTGGGGTTGGCCCCTCTCCCTGTGGACGTGCCTGCTGGGGTATGTGCCCGCTGGGGTGTGGGGCCAGCACTCAGGGCAGTGGGGATGGGATGGGGTTGGCAGGTGGGGGCATTGCCATGACAACGTGCACACCATTACACAACCCCAGCTGGGACAGCGTAATGGGATTTGTGTGGCTGAGCCTCTCCTGTTAACCTACTTTGTCTGCCCAGCTGGGGAGAGCAGCCATGGCTGGGGATGCAGGTCGAGCCCCTGAGAGCAGCCAGCGCTGCTCTGCCAGGGGAAACTGAGGCACGTGCCCTTGGGGCAGTCAAACATCAGAAGGGAGCATCAGGTGCGGCTGTGTGGTGCAGGCAGGGCCCAGGGTGCAGGCAGTGCCTGGGGCTTCGCGCTCACTGCCGGCTCCCTCCCACCACGCAGCTCCAGTGCTGCCATCTGGGTGCGTGCCCGGCACTGTCTGGCAGCTTCTGCAGGCACAGTTGGCAGGATTGGTGCCGGGGGGACAGACATCCCTGTCCTCGCGCCACCTCTCCCTGCCAGAGACCCAGATAGCGGCAGAGGAGGAGGCAGGGCTTTAGCTGGGACCCAGCCTGATGCAGTAGTGCTGCGTGGTGTTGGCATGGCAGGCAGCTGCCTGTTACTGAGGCAACCTGCCTGCAGCTGCCTTTGCCCCTGTTGCTCGGAGTGTGGATTGCTGCGTCGCTGCAGCTGGAGGGGCAGCGGGGTGGGTGCGGGGTGCAACATGCTGAGAGGATGGCCTTGGTTCTGCCTTGGCCAGCATCTCCAGGGAGAAACTAGGGCAGGGCTGACTTCTTGCGGGGAGATCTGGGGGAGGGGGCTGGGGACAGATTGGAGGGGACACTGCCTGCGAGCCTGGCTCTGCACGGTGCCACCCACCGCTATTTATACTGGAGCTCCAGCCTGCTTTCTGCTGGAGATGTCACCTCCAATCCTGTCTCCGCTGCCTGCCTTTCCCCATCCCTCCTTCCCATCTGTGTATCCTGTGGCCGGGCTGGCACTATGTCCGGGCTGGGGTGGTGGGTGTGACGAAGGGAGCTCGGCATCTTTCCTGCTGCCCCAAGATGCGGGCAGAGCTGGGGGGTGAGGTGGCTGCACCCCATTTCCTGTGGTGCTGTCACAGCTGTGAGCATCCCTGCCTGCCTCTGCCCTGCACCCCTGCTGGTGCTGTCAAGCAGATAAAAGGTCCTTTTTGGTGACCAGCATGGAGCAGCCTTGTGCTGCCTGCAGCAGCCACCTCCTATTCCCTCTGCCATGCAACCCCGGGGGCAGCGAGTGCCGATGGGAAGCCGTGGCAGGGGGCAGTGGGGGGGGACGATGCTGAGCCCTCGGGCTGGTGCTCCCGCAGTGCAGGGGTTCAGCCTTTGCCCTTCTCCCCCAGTCCTGTGCGCTGAGCGGGTGGTCCGGATCACGAAGACCTACCATGACATTGATGCTGTCACCAACCTGCTGGATGAGGTATGCTGGTGCCCGCTCTGTGCACGTGCTTGGGCTGGTGCGAGGGCTTGGGGGCTGGTGGGACCCCGAGGAGACAGGGGTGGGTGAGGGCTGGGGAAGAGGGGGGCAGAGCAGGGGATGGGCCCCAGCTGATGCAGACCTGCCCCTTGCAGAAGGAGCGGGACCTGGAGCTGGCGGCGCGCATCGGGCAGTCCCTGCTGAAGCAGAACCGGAGCCTGACCGAGCGCAATGAGCTCCTGGAGGAGCAGCTGGAGTTGGCCAAAGAGGAGGTAACAGCCCCTGGGTGCAGGGTCCTGGCCTTGGCCCCCCACGTGCCTGGCCCGGGGGCCGTGGGTGGCCATGGTCCCCTCAGCCATGCCCTGACACCCCTTCCCCTTCCAGATTGCGCAGCTGCGCCACGAGGTCTCCATGCGGGATGACCTGCTCCACTTCTACACCACCACAACAGAGGAGAGCGAGCCCACCTCTGCCACCGCCACGCCGTGAGTGGGGGTCCCTGTCCCACCACTTGCCCAGTGCAGGACTGCTCCTGGGGGGCCGGGCAGAGGTGTTGGGCTGTAGCCATCGCCCTCCCTGGGGTAGTGCCAGGGCTGGTGCTCCCTTCCCTCGCATGGCTTCCATGGGTCCAGCCCCACAGAGCTGGGTCACTGCAGATGCCTGCCTGGGAGCTGGGGGGAGTGGGCAGGAGGCTGGGCAGGCAGCCTCATCCTGCCTGCACTGCAGGTGCTCAGCACCCTCCCTGCTATCCCCAGGCTGCGCAGGCACGAGTCCTCGCTGTCCCTGCAGCAGTACTTGCAGTATGACACCTTGCAGCAGAAACTCAAGTGCCTGGAGGAGGAGAACCAGAAACTTCGCATGGAGGTGAGCAGAGCCAGCTGGTGGGATGCCCCTCTCTGTGCCCACCTCTGCCCCGCTTGCTGCCAGGGGACCTGAGCTGGCCCCCGGGGAGGCTGGAGGTCCTGCCCATTGCGCTCAGCCCCTCCGACCCTCTCCCCCAGGCCACCAACATCGCAACCGAGACCTGTCAGTACGAGGACCAGGAGCAGCAGCTGATGATTGACTGTGTGGAGCAGTTCTGTACGTGGGGCTGGGCTCATGAGGGGGCAGCTCCTCTCTGGGCTTGGGTTGGGGGTCTGCAGGCAATGCCCAGCATCACTGCATGGGCTGGGGGGCCGTGCCCTGGCGGTGACGGACCCTGGGCCCTCCCCAGCTGAAGCAAGCCGGCAGGTCGTTTACCTCTCCGATGAGCTGGCCCGCAAGGCGGAGGACACGGCACGGCAGCAGGAGGAGATCAGCCAGCTCCTGGCGCAGGTTGTGGACCTGCAGCAGAAGTGCCGCATGGTGAGTGTCCCCTGCCCGTGCTGGGGAGTGCTGGGGGGTGTGGGGCACAGCTCCCTGACCTGCCCATTCCTACCCACAGTATGGCTCGGAGGTGGAAGAGCTCCAGCAGCACCTGGCCGTGGCAAAGGAGGTGCAGCAGCAGCTCCGGACGGAGGTGAGCCTGGGGAGGGCCTGACCATGGGTGCCCGGGCCAGTGGGGGGTCCTGCCCCGCTGCCACCGGGGCCATGCCTGAGCTGCGCCCGTGTCCGCAGCTGCGGGACCTGCAGGAGAAGTACTCAGAGTGCGGCGGGATGCTGCAGGAAGCCCAGGAGGAGGTCAAGAACCTGCGCAGCCGAAGCCTGCCCAACAGCACCATCAGCCGCTATGGTGCACCCAGTCTCCTGCCCGTGGTGAGTGGGGGGTGTGGGCAGGGCTGGGCAGCGGGAGGGGTGGGGGGCTCCGCTCTCCCCTCTGCTGACACTGGGTTCCCCATGTCTCCAGGACTCACTGGCGGCTGAGATCAAGGGGACAATGAGGAAAGGGACAGACAGCTCCTCCTCGGACTACAAGTGAGTGCTGGCATCAGTGGCTCGTGCTGGGCCAGGACGGGGTCATCCCTCGGGGCTGGCTTGAGGGTCCATCCCTGCCTGCTTCCTGCCCGCAGGAGCTATCTGCGTGTCTTTGAGACGGTGAAAGCAGTGAACCAGGTCACCAAAGCCAAGTCTTGCGCCGAGTCTCCCCACAACATGCCGGGCTCCAAGCAGTTGTCAGCTGCCCCCTCCGGGGGGGCCAGCACCCCCCGCACCAGCTGCTCCGGCTCGGAGGGTGCCCAGTGAGTGCTGCAGCGGGGGCTCGGGCCGGGTGGGACAGAGCTGCTGCCCCTGCAGAGGAACTGGGGTGTTGGCAAGATGTTGATCACATAGAGCATTAATCAATGCCGGAAGCCTGGGGCAGGGGGAGGGCAGGCACAGCCAGAGCCTGCTGCTGGCTGGGGTCTGGCACAGCATGGGGGGGTGCAGTGTGGGACCATGGCCCCAAGCACCCTAACGCTGCGCTCACCGGCAGGGGCGAGGAGGCCAGAGAGGAGCCCCGAGCGGCCCCGGGCCGGCAGGACC